GGTTTCATGAGAGAATTATAACAACTTCTTGAAAAGAAAAAAAATAAAGACCTTCAATTGTGAAGCAAAGACTGTGCTGGTGAAAGGCATTTATCTCTTTAATGTTAAAAATCAAAAGTGGGGGCAGAAAAGAGCCAGTTTACCCAAGATGACTCAGTGTCCCCGAGCAGGAACTGCCTCCCTCCCCTTCAGCGCACAGTTGGTAGAGTCCAGCCCCTGGCTGTGGTTTTCCAACTTAAGAAGCTGTAAATTTTATAACTCTGCGCCCTGCGGTCAGAGCTGCTGAGTGTTATTTCTGAAGTCAGGTGGCTCGTGTGTGAAAGGTAGACATTAAACTACTGAGGACCTGCAAGCATTTAAGGAGGTTGCTTGCCAGCTGTAAATTAGAGACCCAGTGCCAGTTGGCTGGAAAATTCTCTGGACTGTGTCCAGTTAAGTAGACGGAATCACTGGCGGTCTCTCCAAATTTGTGCATTTAACAGCTCGGCTCTACGGCCTGACATGCAACGTGGGCGGGTTCAGAAACCCTGTGACCGTGACGTGTGCCGGACCGGCCAATGTGGCACTCTCCTGACCTGGAGGGCATTCGTGTTCTCTGCTAATGCCGAGAAAAGCTGCTGGCTGCTCGGTGACAAGGTTCCTGGAAATGTTTCAAAACAGATGTGAGTGATGGGAATGATCCTTTTCAAATGATGTGTGGCTAGGGCATTCGCAGAGACACTTAGGATCTTAGCTGTCACACAGGGTCCCAAGGTCCTTCTGCCTCCTGGCTTGGGGGCAGAGGGTACATTCTCAGGTGAGGTACTTAGTACAAACCAGTCCCCAGAATTATGGGCTGTTGGTGCCATCTAGGAAGAGCTGGTGAAGTCAGTATGAAGCTACTTGGTCATATATCAATGGAATTTGGAAAATATTAAGTTGTATCAACGTGGGTGAGAAAACCTTAACCTTAGGATGGGCCAGGCTGACTTCCTGGATGTGGAACCTGCAGTCACCCAGGACCAAATGCTCAGAATATCCTGAGTTTGGTTTAATGCTCAGTAGTCACAACCTTGAAATTCTTAACTTTTTAAAATAAGGGATCTTGCTTTTTCATTTTGCATTGGACCACACAAATTCTATAGGCATTCTTTTTTTTTTTTTTTTGTTAAGTCCATTCCTTTTGACAACAGGGGTAAGGAAGGGGCCACCAGAGATTCTAACCAGGTGGACAGCCTGTTTCCAAAAGACCATTTGCATGCATCACACAGTAAGAGATAAGACCCCTATCCTTGGCTTCTTTTCTCCTCAACACAGAATAAAGAGCAGCCAATACCTTAATTATCAGTTAAAAGCAAATTGGCAAATGCTCATCTTTTATATATTTGATCTTTGTGTCTATTTGTTGAAATAATTGCTATCTTTAAGAGGATTTTGTGAGTTAATGTTGAATCCTGAAGTTAGCTTTCTGCTAGTCTGTGCAAATATTGTCTTTCAGCCTACGTGATTACATGCACAACACTGCATGCGAATTTACAGCTCCCCAGATCTTACAGTCGTGTCTTGCATCACTAGATTTTTTAAGGCCCAGTGTCTCATTCGCTGATGCATTCACTGAATGCATTCATATGTTCAGCAAACAAAATGTAAACAATATTTCCTATAGTTACAAGACTGTACTGGTACTACAACAATAACCAACTACTGTGTAGTTATGAGGTCACGATTTAAAGTTTGCATAATCCTGTGGATACTTAGACTAAATTGTGAGTTTTCTCTCTTCTTGCTTTGGCTGGATAAGTGAACTTCTTGGTACCTTGATAATACAAAATGCATTAGTAGCCTTCTTGTTAGTAAATATTCTGTTTGCTGCTGTTATTACTTTCAGCTGAAGAATTTAACTTTTCAGAGGACCTTGACATATTTCTGTTTATGAGGAATAGGAGGTGGGAAACTCAAATATGAAAGTTTGGACCTCAGGAGCATAGACATTCCCAAAGGAAACTTAGATTCTGTTTTGTTGCTGAAACCATCCACCAAGCGACTCTTTTAATTAAGTGGCAGCCACAAAGCTTCTTATCGTCTTGACATTCTACTCCCCTGGTTTCACAGCAGCATTTGCTTTCCCTTTGCAGGACAGGGTCTGTGGTACTTTTAATCTCTTAAGTTTCTATCAATGCATTATTTTTTTAATTTATTTTCTTATAATATTGCTTATTTTTGTACAATATTTGATTTCTCCGTTCCTGTGTCGTCCCCATAAATCTCCCACCACCACATTACCCGTGAACTGTCATCATAGTCCCTTGTGCTCTTTCCTTCCCTATTTTGATCCCTCTCCCTCCACTGCTGTATGCCTCAGATCTATAGTTTTTGCCTGCAAGTTGCTAGTGTTGTCTCTTTTTTTGACCATTTGATCGGTTTCCCTATAAGTGAAACCATCCAATATTTTTCTTTTTCCTTCTGGCTTATTTCGCTGAGCATAATCCCTTCCAGCTCCATCCATGTTGCTGCAAATGGCATGAGTTTATCTTTTTGATTACTGTATAGTATTTCAGTGTGTATACACACGTGTGTGTGTGCGTTTATGTTTTTGTATATGTGTGTATATGTATATATGCAATGGCATCTTCTTTTGGTCATCTGTTTTGGGGCGTTTAGGTTGTTTCCATATCTTAGCTATGGTAAATAGTGCTGCAGTGAACATAGGTGTGCAATTTTTCTTTCGAATTAACGTTTTTGTGTCCTTTGGGTAGATTCCTAGGAGTGGAATCCACTCCTGGATCATATGGTATTTTCATTTTTAGTAATTTAAGGACCCCCCCACAACTTTCCAAAGTGGTTGGACCAATTTGCATTCCCACCACCAGCAACACTGCATTATTTTTATGTGTGGCCCTTTCCTATCTTCACCACCAGAGAATATGGCTTTTCCTCATCCCTCCAGGGCCATGAGGATGGAAATAGAGAAGGTAGTAACTCAGTCAGGCCAAAGACCAGCAACAGCAATTAACAGAGTGAAACAAAGTCAGATTAGAAATATGTAGAAAATCAAGATATACACCATCTCCTGTTCAGTTAGATGTGGGTATTGGAAAACAAGGATCAGGATGCCGCCAACTTTTTTTCTGGTCTGAACAATTGAAAGGCTCAGGTTGCCATTTTATGAGGTTGGGAGGAAAAGACTTTGAGAGGGGAAGGAGGAAAATCATGAGTCTGCTGTTGGACATGAATACACCTGTTTGACATTCAAGCAGAGATGCCCAGTGGCTGTTGAATATGTCAGCAACACAAGATTATAGTACATTCTCTTCATTGCAACAAGTTCTATCACAGAGCACTGGTATAGCATGAATTTGGAAGTGGTCACGTGAAAATATTAAGAGAAATACTGCGAAATCTCAAAGAAAGCATGCTATATATTCAAAATGTATGATGTATATATTTGAGTATGTGAAGTGTATGACTGAGCTGCAAAATAAGAAAAGCAAGACTAGAAAGACTCTCAGAACTGAAGTACCCATAGGATTTTCAGAATGTTTTCATTGGTAACTAGTGAAAATTTAGCATTTGTCCCTTTTAGTGGTACTATCTGCTTTGCTTGGGATGTGGGTGAAGGGAACAAAGACCCATCTATTCACATTTTTGTTGTTTCTGGGAATTGCCAAGACTTTGTTTGTACAACAAAGTGATGTTCACGGCCTGGAATCTCTATTTTAAGCCATAATATTTTTGGAGACTTTTAAGCTAATAGCAAAGTGGAAATCATTTTGAGCATCCTAAGGAATGGTCTGGAATAACGGAGGTCCTTGAACAACTGCCACCCACCCAACTTTAATTGAAGTGGGATCCCACCAGGCAGAGATAGAGCCAGGGGTTCTTATTTTTAACTGGAAATCTATTTTGCTTTTTGGCGATGAAGGCCCAGTTCTGGTGGTAAAGAATTTTCCACAAGACTCACGGGGTGGGAGAGAACTAACTATTTATATGCATGCTTTGAGCTTGAAAGAAAAAAAAAAAAGAGAGAAAATGGAAAGAAGAGAGGCAAATAATGTTTCCCACACCAAAAACATGTGGTTGGAGGTCTTATGTTCTATTTCAAGCTCTTTCACAAGTCACCTGTGTGATCTTGCATAAGTTTGTTAGTCTTGGTTTTCTGCAGTGAAAAAAATAGACTGATAGATTATAGAGTTGTTAAGAGAAATGTTTGGAGAAAATTCACAGAAAAAAAAAGCCCCATGGAGCCCTGGGAAGTGCTAGTAAGTGATTCATCTTATTTTAGTAGTCAAAGCTTATAGGATCAGTTTATCCTACATCCTTGCCCTTTTGAGGTTAAATCCATCCATTCCAGCATCTATCTCACCAATCCCTACTTCCTATCATACTTCTTTTGTCTTATCTACTCATTCCCAGAACACAGTTAACTATCATTTTGTCTTTGAGTAAATTCCCTTTGGAAATCCCATTGGAAACCTGTGTGGATTCTAACTCTGATGATGGGTAAATCTAAATGAGGTGTCCTGAGGTATTCACTTCCCTTGCACCCAACTTCTGCCAACACCAGGAGAAGGATTATAAACTGTGGTCCAGGACAAAGCACAGAAATGTATATAAGTAGACTCGGTCATTATCTGTGGAGCACTGTCTGTTGGTGCTATGTTGGACTTTGATGTTTAGTGTGAAGATTGAGATCTCATAAAATAACCTTTGTTCCTTCAGTGTAATGTAATATATTTTTTTTTTGCGTTATTAATTGGGTATACCTTGATTTGAGGAATGTGGCCTATGGGAAATGTCATGTGACCTATTTAACAGCTCTCTAGTTCACAGTTTTGATGATATGGAGGTACACATTTTAAAATGTCACTTTAAATCAACCTAAGCCATACTTGGGAACAAGATGTGAGCCAACTTTCAGGTCGAAATGTCGTATAAATGTCTTTAAAATGTTCAGTGAGATTTCTAGAATTCCAGGGTCTGACCTGTATCTTGATCTCTGATTTGTATCTGACACTGTCCAGATTCTGATGCAAGGCAAAAACCCGGGGATAGCTTGGAAGTACTCACTTCCCAAGGTCACTAATGGAACCCAGCTTGCCTCAAAAAGACACAGCCACGCCTGGCGCGTAGTACAGTCGGATTGCTCCGTCTCCTGCGGTGGAGGTAGTTGATTTTCTCATTCCATCTTCCCCATGTCAGCTTAAAGAAGGATTCTTCACACCAGGCCTCTTCAAATTGTATGGTTTATTAAATAAGCAACAAAAGAACTGTTTTTTTGTGGAACCCATCAGTGTGGAAAGTAATTATTATTGTACTATTTGAGGATTTACCTTGGAAAAAGTAACCAATTCTTACAAAATTCAAGTCAACCAAAACCGGCTCGAAATGAACATATCTGAAACTTAGAGGGGAAAATATAAAACATTTATATTTATTTGTAAATATAAGGCTATGTACTGGTGTACATACCTATGTACATATTTTTTTTTTCCACTTGCTGTTTACGTTCCTGACTTTTCTATGGCCATAAAACTACCAGTGGGATTTGCAGAAGGTAGGGTGAAGATGAGGGAGGATACAAAAATCAAAAACTATTGAAAAGGTAGATGTGTCATTCCAATACTTCAGGGGTCTTAGGTCAGCAAAGTCTCCTTCAGTATGAAAAATAATGAAGTCTAAGAAATAATCCTTACAACCAAGGAAAAGTGATCGCCATCCTCTTAGCCAGTAGAAGGCAAACACTTCAAAGAGAAGCAACATACCTCTTTGGGGAACTGATATTATTTACACACTCAAAAATGTATGCCTCTGATAGATCCCAAATAAACACTAGAGTATATCAGTGAGATACCACTATAACAAACCAAAAACACAAATTCTATATATATATAGAAAAAATTCTATGACTATATATTCTGTGACACTATATTCTGTGACTATATATTCTGTGAGTTCAACTTCATGTTTATATAGCACATGCTCATGGAAGTAGAAGACGTTTCATGGAAAAGCAGAATCTTAGAGTTTTACATATGATGATATTTTATTAGAGAATTTTTTAAGATGTTTACAATGTGAGTTACAGCTTGTGGAATGTTTTCCTTTACAACCGTCCTACTTCAAATGGTTGTATTATCATTTTATGTTTATAGGATCCCAAGCAGTCTTGAAAACTAAGAAGCTACACAGTATCATTATTAAAACGTGAAAACTTTTATCTTGGGGAAGGGGGAATTGGATTCAAATTATTTACAGATTTTCACAAAAGGAGATGTTTTCACAAAATTTTTGGATTCCAGCTCTTAACTATCAGAACTCTGGTAAATCAAAAGCTGAACTTGGAAACTAACATGAAATAATAATCTGTAGTGTTCACTAGTAACTTTTGATGTCTTACCAGGATATATAAGTGTAAAGGCCGTTTGCTTACGAGAGCTCACTACTCAAGTCAATGCCTCATTCTGCAATGCAAGACCCAAGCCAGCAACGGAACCCAAAATTTGCAACGCTTTCTCCTGCCCCGCCTAGTAAGTCGTGGGGGGCAGGGTCTTTCCGGTTATGTCTGCACTGGTGTCCTTTAATATAGATATGCAATTACTAAAATCCCACTGCCCATGCTTCTGATTGAAAGGGATTCAAAGATAAATAAAATAACGCCCCAAAACACTCACCAAATATACACAACGAAACAAAGTAATGGAAGGAACAATAATATAGTTGAGGTTAACACATATAACTTAAAAAACTCAAATTATTTTAGACACTCATCTGACCCTGCTATGCACATTTAACTTCGTGATAAAAAATGCTTAACAGTGTCTTTATTTTTTTTGAACCTTTGCATGTAGCAATCCCTGTACTCTAAACTAAAACATATTTCAATAACACCAAATCCTATATTAGTTAAATTTACGTGTGCTTGTCTATAGTTGTCTAAGAATCTAAAAATCTTGCTATGCAGACCGTGAAACCCAAATGCAAATTACACAGTAGCAAGACACAACTTTTTTTTAAAAAGCGGTTGAGGCCAAGTGGTAACCCCACTTCTGATGATGGTTCACTATGGAGAGCTCAGTGGGTTTGTTTGGGATTGATTTTAGCCACACTATTGTTTGAACACTAATTGTAAGTAATCTTCCCAGCTGAATGGGGGCCTCTTGTGTGATTTATCTATTGCCAAATGTATTTATATAGAACTAGAAGAGTTTTTTCTAAATCAGTGTTGTGTTCACTAATGTTTCAGTTCATCTTAATAAGTAGTGTTTGCTTTGTGGTGATGCAATTATATTGCACAATCTTTTTATATACTGCATACATTTTTTTCCTTATAAGCAGTGTGTTTGTCATAATTGTTTGGGGTTCAGCTATCTACCCATCCCACATGTCTGACTCTCATCCTAGTTTTTCTCTTTGTATATGAAACCAGCTGTATTCTGAATACAAAAATAAGAAAGACATTTGGGGGTTTGCCTAGATTTCCCTCTTCTGCTAAGAGATACCTGGCTCTAAGAAATACCCAGCGACCCTAAGACATGATGACCGGGCATTGTTATTTATCCTGTGGAGCAAGTTGCTCCTTTAGCTGGGCTGTGAGTTTATATAAGTTTAAGTATGTGTAGGGGCTGGCAGTAGGTTTGAATAGCAAGCTGATGCCAAGTCTCCTGCCCTTCATTGGTTATCTCTGCCAGGCAAAGAAAAGGACCCTATTTATAGATTCCACGGAAAGGGAGAGAACCTAGAGCATGCCCAACTTCTAGAACCTCCCCAGTGACTACATGTAGAAATGATGTTCTGTGCAATAACAATTTTATGAGCTGATTACAAACAGAATAAGCCCTCCCAATGACTCCGCGAGGTTGGAGAGGTGAATGGGTAGAATCATGTGTTCCCTTTCTCTTCTCAGCATTTTCTGTTGGAACAATGAGATAGTTCAGGGAACATTATATCCCTAGGGATATACTAAAGGAAGACCTCAGACTCTAAGACTATTAGAGTGAGGAAAAAGGAGTTCATCTGTGCTAACACCATTATGGCCCATGGAACAAGCATGTCATAGTGCTTACTATATGCCAGACCTGAGCTAGGAGCTGGGATGTGTAATTCCTGTCATTGATTGTTACAACAAAATGTAGAAAATGAGAAAAGATTGGTCATTAAAATTTAATGAGATCTAAGCTATAAAAAATGTTAGGTACAATTAGTTTTTTTTTTTTCTGATCCCTTATTTGGATCCTCTACATTCCTGCTATAAGTGAGACCATCCAGTATTTTTCTTTTTCATTTTTGGCTTATTTCACTGAGCATGATCCCTTCCAGCTCCATCTATGTTGCTGGAAATGGCCTGAGTTAATCTTTTTTAGTTGCTGAGTAATATTCTATTGTGTATATATACCACATCTTCTTGATCCAGTCAATTATAATAAAGTAAAAATCAAAATCAACAGGCAACTATAAACCAGAGATTCTGCAGTGGGGGAGAAAGGAGTAGCATCAAAACAAGGGTGGGAAGAGCACAAGGGACCATGGTCATAGTTCACAGGTGAATGGGTGGTGGGAATTTCACAGGAACTATAACCAAGATGAAAATGCATACATTGTGCAAAAATTAAAAATGATGTAAAAATATATAAAATAAAAAAAGAAACCTGAAAGTAAAAAAAAAAAATGTTAGTTATAAAGTCATAAGGAAGAAAGTGAATGGTGTAGGTATCTATCTGGACTCTGAGGCATGGAGATTGACAGAGAATCAGGCTAGAGACCAAGTACGCTGAGTTCCAAATATGGGGCACTATGTGTAGCCTGCAAAAAGTCTAATTGTGTTATGCCCTTTTTTGTATTTTTATAAACTCATCATATTTGTTGCATAAGGGAAAAAAATCAGAATTTGGTGTCATGACTTGTAAGTGTTGAAACTAATAATTTCATCATAATACATGCTTCCTTTATATTTTATTATAAGATGCAAATGATATAAATATAAGGAATTCATTTATATCTTTAACATTAAATAATACTAAACAATTTTTTAGAATATGGATGACCCTAGAACTCATATGGTAATAGAAATGCAAATATTAGCATGCAACCAAGGGGTACCCTGAGACCCCAAACTGTTAAGTGGTGCATGCCATCTGTGTACACAAAGGAAATGGAAACCGACTTAGTGTGAAAGATTGTTAATAGAATTGGTGAGCATAGAGAGAGAGAGAAATTATTTCAAATAATTGTTGCCCAATAATCCCCCCAAATGGGCAAATGCCTAGGCAAACAGGGTTGACCTGAAGCAGGGACCAAAGGCTTGCCACAAGTCAGGGAACCACAAAAAAAAAGGTGTGTTAGATAAGTCCTAGAGCAATGTGACAGAAGACACTCAAAATTCAAAATATAACAGACAATAATCTAACAAATAATCTAATATGAAATTGGGATAACAGCTGCCATTGTCTCTGTCAGTGGTCAAGAACAGCCTTCCCATGTGTCTCTTCCAAGTATTTCTTCCAGATGTCTACCTGCCTCTCCCATAGTGTCTCCTTTCATGTCTCCCTCCCCTCTTCCTTTATATAGCTACCTCATTCCTTCCCAGCTGTCCCGCATTCGGGAGTCCAGTTCATGGCAGACTGGGACTTGTAATTCAAGGCAACTGCATGTAAATGGTGGTAGGGAAAATGGCACCAATTCTTGGCTCCTCCTCCATTCACAGAGGTGCACCTGTATCTGTAAACCAAAGCTATAACAAAACACATATTTGTCCTTTGTAATGCTTTATTTCTTAAAATGAAATTTAGAATATCTGGAAACCAAGATCAATTTAAGACATTCCTCTACTGTCTCAAGTGTTTACAGTCATATCTGGTGAATCTTGTGCTAGGCCTTTGAATCACAGATATTCAACTAATCAAAAGAAATTGTTGAGAAAGAATAAAGTTTAGCTGATCCCCCTTCAAATATACACCATGTCTCAGCAGTGAAAAAAAAAAATCTGTCGATCTCTAACCCGTCAGTATATTTTAAGACTAACCAGAAAATCAGTTGGGGAAAACTGCCTACTTAGAAATATCCCCTGTGACACCTTCTCTGGATGTGCATCCCTTCCTGTGCATGCACACACACACACACCTCTCTCCCTCTCTGATCAGTCTTCCATTAGCCTCATTATTATATTTTATATTAACTTATCAGGAAATAATTGTTCACATATCCACCTCTTCTCTATGTTATCAGCTCCTTACTGGAAATAACAGAGCCTCATTCAATTGTTCAGCCCTCACGCCTAGGAGAGTCCCTAGCACAAAGTTAAGATCCCAATAAGTTTGTCTGAATGATTGAGTTGCTCAGATTTCCAGAGGGCACATGTGTTTTTCCTGCACCTGAAAGGCATGGTCATTAAATATGACTCCTTATATCTCAACCATGTTGGTGTAGACATCAAGATTCATAAAAGAATGGATCACCCTCACCGGTAGTAAACATAATCTAAGACTTTCATCAAGTGGTTACTCTTTCACAGTATCTGCTTTGAACGAGCCAAAGCCCTCATTGGACATAACTGTTTTTCACAACAGTTGGAAGCCAGGTGAATGGAGCATGTGCAGCAGGTCATGTGCAGGGGGCCAGCAGAGCCGGAAGGTCCAGTGTGTCCAGAAGAAGCCCTTCCAGAAGGAGGAGACGGTGTTGCATTCTCTCTGCCCAGTGAGCACACCCACTCAGGTTCAAGTCTGCAATAGCCAGGCTTGCCCTCCAGAATGGAGCTTGGGGCCCTGGTCTCAGGTAACTGGGAGAGGCTTGGAACTGTCAGTCTTGATACTTTCATGGGAACTATACTGAATTCATGAAATGGGGCATTTTTCATTCATTTTTTTAGTGTTTCTTGTATAACCTGATTGGCCACACCTCATCAGTAGCTTAGGAATCCTCCCTAGAAGTTCAGAAATTAGTATGGAACCAGGCAGACTAACAAGCAAAGCCAAAAAGGATTTGCACATTGGAAGGTTAGCAGATGAAACTAGTTACCGAATTCCCCAAAGCAAACAAAAAATACAAAAAGAAGTCATAGGGATATTTAACCCTTGCTTCCATGGAAAGAGATAGGGTTGGAAGAACATGGAGGGGGTCTGGGAACTTTGCTACTGTCACAAGCACCAGTGAGAGGACAAAATTCTCAAGTTTCAAGAGGTATAAAACTGCATGTCTGTCATTCGCGAGCTTGGGTTAACAAGATGGAGCAGAGGGTGCTGAGAATATGCTCCCCAGGGGACACTTGGCAATGTCTGGAGACAATGTTTACTCTCAACCTGGGTCAAGGGGTTGCTGCTGTTCTGGTCGGTGGAGAGGAACATCCCACAGTGCACGGACAGCTCCCAGACATAGAATCATCTGGTCCATGTGCCAAGGGTGAGAACTCTGCCCATCCTCGCTGAATCCTGGGGAGCCAGCCAACTTAAAAATGGAGAAGTAGGGCCTCTATGGTGGCCTAGGAGTTAAGTCTCAGCACTGTGACCACTATGGCCTGAGTTCTATCCCTGGCCAGGGAGCTGACCCACACATGGTGCAGTTGACCTCTCCTGTCTTTCCCGCTGCTCCCATCAGCAGTGTATTTCAGTAGATCTGCCTGATCTATTCCCTACTCTGTCTCTGGTGAATCTTCTCACCCCTCATGCCTCTGGCGAGGGTCTTGTATGCAAAAATTAAAAAAAAAAATGCAGAATTAGAAAGCAGGTAGCAGCTCTTGACCACAGTTCCCTATGGGGCACTTTACATCCTGGAGGAAGTTGATGATTTCTGATTAATTAGCAATGCAAGGGTCAGAATAAGGCTTTTTTTTTTTCTATGGATGGAACATTATGGGATTTTTCAAAATCTTACATCTGTTAGGGTATCAAGACCCTAGGAGTAGGAATATCTCGGAGCTTCTATATGTACAGTCATAGCAAAGGGAAACTGAGTCATCCCTCTTCATGTTGAGCCTCCTCTTGCCCTTCGCACTTGAGGAGTTTGAATTCACCTTTTGTAAAAATTATAAGGATTTTTTTAGCCTGGTAATGGGAGAAGGTAGAAGGGAAATTCCAAATGAGACATCATGAAAAGGAGTTTCCGTTCACAAAGCTTACCCCGAATTTCACAAGGAAACGTTTTAAGCGAATGTTTTTCTTCTTCCAGTTTATTTCTTTTGACGACTGAAGCCTTTGTTCTTTTAAGAACTTGTTCATGACACTATGAAAGGAGTCCTTCAGAATCCCTTCCGACAACCTGTTCTTCCATGAGAGGCCATGTGTCTGGAAGCCTTTTGGACAGCTATTCAAAAATTTTGCCATTCTGAAAAAAAAAACAAAAAACACCACAAATATAAAATAAGAATGACCCATTTAGAAATGGTGGATGTGGATGAGGAATAGATTTAGTAGTGCCTAGCTGACCTAGCCATGGTCTGCCATGATACAAATGTGTCTGCCCAGCTCAAATACTTGGTCAAGATACCTAACTCTTGGGTCTCTTATGTAAAATGAGACACTGGCAATGATCTCATGGGGCTGTTGGAGGGTCCTGGGGTCCAGGCAATAGTATTAGCTGACAGTCGTCATTACAGGGAAGGCATGAAGGCCCTGTGCTGCAGTGGATACCAGATGATGCTAACTAAGACCCTGACACCCTCCTCTATTTCATTCTCCCTTGTGATGTGATGAGGGAGAGTTCACAGTGGTCCTCTGGGCAGCCTTGGAAGTGTGTCTAGACTTTTGCTACCAAACAAGGGAAGAGACGCCACCCTTCCTCTGGCCCTGCTGACAGGGAAACTGAGTGGGAAGGTCAGGGGGGCCACCTGGACTCTGGAAGCACATGGACCACGTGGTCTTTATTGTTACTTAATTCTGCCTTTGTAGCAGTAAAACACCATGGACAGTATGTTAGTGAATGAGTGTCTTAGGCAAGTCACTCAAGTGAGAAAGCAAGACCCTTACCTGCTGCCCTATTTCATAAAATTCTGGGGCTGATGAAAAAAGTAAATGTGCATGCAAGAATGACCCCCCCCCCTTGCCCCAGAGATTCACATTAGACAGACTTATTCACAAACATCTGATGAGTATTTGCTCTCTTCCCCCATAGTTAGCACAATGTCCAGCCTGGAGAAAGCAGGTGTCAAGAGCAAGAATCAGCCACCCGCAACCCATTTTTATAAATGTCGCAGCCTGCTGCTATTAGAGATGCGTGCACTCCTGCTGTTACTCTCCTGGTGAGCTGCACAGGTCATCCTCTGTGGCCTTGTGCCAGAGGGAGACATGCTTCCACTGGCCATTGGGCCATGTAGCTTCTTCCCCTATGTGCAATGGAGAGAAAACCTGGCTTCTTCAGTCTGAATAAAAGTCACCTTCAGACCTGGGCCAATATGGCAGCCACTGGGGCATTCAGCATGGCCAGGGGAGCATGTCCCTGCATCGCAGGCCTCTGGATGAGAGGGAAGGCTCCCTGCTGGTTCTAATGCCTAAAAACAGTTTTGCAAACTCTTCGTGAATATGTCCACACCCCTTACCTGGAAGAAAATCATTTGAAACTGTCATGCCCATGGCGTTTTTTTCTTTTTCCCATCTCAAGTGTTCCAAGACCTGTGGCCGAGGGGTGAGGAAACGGGAAGTCCTGTGCCAGCGTTCCGCCGGGGCCGGAAACCTCCCCGAGGGCCTGTGCTCCAGCTCTCCAAGACCAGAGGCACAGGAGGGCTGCGTCCTAGGCCGCTGCCCCAAAAACAACCGGCTGCAGTGGGTGGTGTCTTCATGGAGTGAGGTGAGTCCTGGGTCCTGTGGGGGCGGACTCACGCCCACATGCTCTGAGCTTGTTTCTGTTCTGCACACACAGACCAGGGCCTCCTTGTCACTCCTCTATCTCCTGACTCCACTCACCGAGTGCCTTACCCCGTAATGAGGCCTGGGCCATGGAGGTATAGCACCTCCATGGGAAAGTGGGTGCAGTGCTTGAGGGGTCCTCTGTGCCACACAGAGCTGGGTCTGCCCACCCCCCATCAGGAGGCATCCTGTCAGAGGAGACCTCCCAGGGAGCCTGAAGGATGAGTCAGGCAAAGGTGGGGAGTCAGATAAAGGTGGGGCTGGGCAAGGTTGCTCCAGAGGCCCAGCCCTGCACCAGGGAGAGAGGAGAGGCTGAGGACAGGACAGGACACAAAGTTCCTCAGGCACAGTCACGAGAGCCTCACGTGACAGAGTACAGCACTGACCCCATAAATGTTGGGGAGCTAGCTGAAATTCTAAATAAAGAGAACTGACAGACAAGCCCAGAAGTGATGAGGGCACGCGCATGGATATGCCAGTGATGGAGATGAAAGATGAAACGTTTCAGGGAGGGAGAGATGCAGTATCTTTGAGATTGCCCAAGAGGGCATTCACTACCTCAGAGACGAAAGGAAGGTGCTTCCTGGAAATCTGGCTTAGGAAATTCAGTTTAAGGGAAATGATAGGTTTTAATGTGATATGTCATTCTGTCCTCCTCACCCATTCTTTTCAAGATACACTGTAACCTAATGGCAAATGCTTGAGCTTGAAGATGTGTATCCCATTGGAAACTGGCTTGATGGTGCACTCTGTGTGTGACCTTGGGTTAGCCACTGACAGGGCTAAGACCTCACTTTAATGACTGCGCGATGAGCAACATCTGCCCCTGTAGATGTGAGATATGGAGTGAGCTAGTCAGACCAGAAACCTACAGACATGACAAAGAAAGTTCTCCCTAGGGTACTCCTGTGAATTCTCACAGAGCAATCCAGAGGGGCTTCAGAGAAGAGGTGGCATTTGAAGACATTAAAGAGTGAGTAGGAACTTGTCAGACTGTGGCAGGGAAGAGCAGGAATGGAGCTTCTATAGGTAAATAACTGGTCACCCCATGTCTTCCTCAGCATCATCCTTCATTGCTTACCACAGTTACACTGACACCAGTGTCCTCTTCATTGAGACACACACACACACACACACACACATACACACACACACAGAGTACTCATTAAAGCACTTAAAAAAATGCTTTCTGCAGCAACCTCTGTCCTTTCTCTCCTCTGCCATAACACAGCATCAGGTCCTACCTCAGACAAGGGTGAGACAAGGTTAAAATAAAGGACAGTTACTTGTGCTATGGTGATTCTTCCCTCTAGGGTTGGCTGCCTCCAGCCCCCTCATCACTGTTCCCTGTCTCTCCTCAGCCCAGACGCCCCACTCCTCAGAGAGGTGTTTGGTAGAACTGGATGCACAGGTGTTTAACCCCAAAATGGACATCAGAGAAACACCACACAGAGATCCTCACCTCTCCCTTTGCCTCTTGTCTTTCTTCATCTCACATGATGTGGTGTCTCTTGGCCCATGCTGGCCTCTTTTTATTTTAAAGATCTATTTTTATTTATACAAGAGCCAGGGTACAGGCCAGAGGCACAGGAGGGTGAGAGGATTCTCCAGAGACAGAGCAGGGAGCAGAATGGGCAGACTGACCGAAATACATTGCTGAGGGGAGCAGCGGGCAAGACAGAAGAGGTCTGCCGCGCCATGTGGGTATCTCCCTGGCCAGCCAGGAATTGAACCCTCACTGCAGAGGTGCTCATGAGGCCTGTGACTTTCGTAGAGTCTCTTGCATTCTCTGGCCTTTGGTTTCCTCTCCTGGAGAACGAGGGGCCTGGTTGCACATCTCTGGGCTCCTGGCACCGGGTGTGTGATTGACCAGTTATGATTCCATCCCATTTCACCTCCCTTGTGCATCCTTACATGGGAACATAGCTGCTCAGCAAACTGGACCCTGGAGCTCTGCAGGCTCACACCTCCTCTCTCGGCTCCTAGTGTTCCACGACCTGTGGCATGGGCGTGAGGAAGAGGGACATGCAGTGCAGCGAGAAGGCCTTCCAGGGAAAGCTGATAACCTTCCCAGAGCGGAGATGCCGCAATATCAAGAAACCAAACCTGGCCTTGGAAGAGACCTGCAACCGAGGGGCCTGCCCAGCCCATCCAGTGTACAACATGGCAGCTGGATGGTATGCGTCACCATGGCAACAGGTGAGCACCTGCATATGGAGGTTTGTATTTGGGATAAATAGGAGGCAGTCCACCAGCTGCCATTAGAGACCTGTCCCGACATAAAGAACAAGGCCTCCAGAGAGTCTGCGACATGTGGGGCCCAAGTGACCTTGAGAAGACTGATCTGTGAGCCTCTGCTTTTACAGCTAGGAAATGGAGATGATGGTATCTTAGTATTGTTGTTTTGTTGTTTTTGTTGTTGTTAAAGATTTATTTTTTTGATGCATACAAGAACTGGGGTGCAGGCCAGAGGTGTGGAGGGTGAGAGGACTCACCAGAGACAGAGTGAGGAGCCGAACGGGTGGATTGACTGAAATACACTGGTGAGGGGAGCAGCGGGTGAGGCAGGAGAGGTCTGCTGCACCAGGAAGTGCCTGTTTTTTTTTTTTTTAATTGATGCTAATGTTTCCTGTTATCAAACCACCACTGGAGTTTCCCTTACTCTCAAAATGCTCACATTCTTAACTATTTTGGTGCTTAGTCATGATTCAGGCTTGCTGGGCACTGTGCTAAGTTCTTTACCTGCATTCTCTATTCTCTTGCTCCATTCTCCTTGCAGCAACCTCCTAGTGGGTATTGTAGCTCCTGGTTCATGAAGCAAGCAGGTAGATCTGAGAACTTAGGCAGTTCAGCCAAGGACACCCAGCTTTTTGGCTCTTCAGAGGGTTGAGGCACCCTTGTTCTCAGAAGGCTTAACTGCAACTCTGGATTCCTGAGGACATAGTGTTTTCCTGGATTTAGCACCCCATCCCACTCTGAGCCCAGAAGAACCAACCCCATGTAACCAAAGCAGGGTTTTGGTCCTTGCAGCTTTCCAACCCACAGAGTGTGCCCAGCTCTTCAAAGAACCCACAGGATTGAGAGGTGCTGGCCCCTCACACCATGAAACATGGGTAGGGATGCAAGCATAGGCAATTTCACATGTTTGCATGTGTGTACATGTACCTATAAACATATACAGTTGAACAATGCAGGGTTTGGGGCACTAACCCCTGCCACCCCACACACCATGCCATCAAAGATCCACGTGTAATTTCTGCGTCCCCAAAGTCTGTTGTTGACCAGAAGCCTTATCGAGAACATATACACTTGAATAAAACATTTATATGTTGTTATTATATTCTGTATTGTTACATACTATAAAGCTAAAAAAAAGTTGAGAAAATACATTCACGGGCCTGTGCTGCATTTATCAACACATGGTCTGTTTATAAGGAAATGCACATATAAATGGCCACGTGCAATTTAAACCCATGTTCAAAGGTCAGCTGCGTATGTGTGTGGCTCTACCTATTTCTATGGATTTCCTTTAATTATTGTCATTATTTTACTTAACAGATTTGGAAATTGTTACAACATCATTTACATCTGAGATCTGCAAATAATTGCCAGCTGGTCAGAGTTGCTCCTCTGTCTGTTTTCTGTAAATGAGATTTTATTAGAACACAGCCCTACTCACTCATTGATATATTGTCCATAGCTGTTTTAGTGCTACCAGGCAGAAGTAAGTAACAACAAAGACCACATGTCCCAGAAAGCTTACAGTGCTCTATAAAGGGCATGATAGTAACGTTGCCAGCCCCTGGTTTAAATCATATGATGACAACCACTCAGCTGTACTTGAAGGTGGGACTAATTCTAAAACTCATACCTTTTTCACCCCCAAATACCAGTCCAAATAGTGATGCTTGTCCAGGCTGCTGTCTTCATCTGTCTGCTATAAAATAAGAAAATTAAGGATAATGTAAATTTTTTAAAACAAAACACACCAACAAAAGTCAATTTGAGGGCTTTTTCCATGACAATATATTCTTGTTGTTTTGTTCTTGTTGTTCTGAAATATCTTTATATGAAATCTTCATGTGTGTCTGGAAAAAAGGAGGATGTTGACAGTCCTTTTCATCTCTTCTTTTTTTCATTTGAGCTAGACAGGAAAATCCTTGATTTCTAGGCAGCCCCATACCCACCATGCTAACTCAGAATTTGCCAGGACACTGGGGCCATAGTTCTGGACTATAATCCCCGCCAGATGGGCATCTGCAGAGATTCTCTGGAATTCTTTAAACACTGATTAATTGCCTAGCTGTGTCTGCATTCGGCCCTGCATTATTCTTTTTTTTTTTTTTAAGATTTATTTATTTATGCGTACAAGAGCTGGAGTACAAGCCAGAGGTGTGGGGGTGGGGGGGAGTGAGAGGATTCACCAGAGACAGAGTGGGGAACAGAACATGCAGACTGACTGAAATACACTGCTGAGGTGAGGGAGCAGCAGGTGAGTAGCTCCCTGGCTGGCCAGGGATTGAACTCGTGCTGCAGAGGCTGTGGAGAGCTTCACAGTGCTGTGCTTAACCCCTTGTACCACCTGGGAGGCCCCGGCCCTGCATTCTCATAGCAGCTTCTGCATTTTGGGGTGCTCTGTTCTTCAGGAGATACCCACTCTAGGGCAAGATAGATCATAGCTGTAGCATCTGCCTTCTCATCAGATCAAGTGGCTCCCACGATCCCCCAGCACTGAGCATCCCTGCTTTATGGACAGACATCTGGCTGATCTCATGAAACCTGGGGATTGCTTCTGCTTGATGTCAGTGACATAGGAAGGACACCATCCCCCTGCATGCTCTGATACCTTCCTCTTTCCCACTACTGCAGTGCACAGTGACGTGTGGAGGAGGGGTCCAGACCCGACTGGTCCACTGTGTTCAGCACGGCCGACCTTCCTTGAGCTGCCTGCTCCGTCAGAAGCCTCCAGTGCTACGAGCCTGCAATACAAACTTCTGTCCAGCTCCTGAAAAGAGAGGTAAAGGGCCCCACACTCCCGTCACTTGTATAGTCTTCAGCAAAGTTTTCACCCAATTGGGTGGCACCCGCCAGGGCCGGGCAGCGTGTCAGCTGTAGTTCACATCCCAGTGTACATGAGCAGTGCAACCAAGAGGTACACAGGCACAGCCCATTTTGCTTGCATGGGTATAAGGGAATATAATTCTGTGACAAGGCTTTCTAGCCATTATGCTTCCTTTGAAAGGGGGGCATGGTCCTCTTGCAAGTCCATTTGTTTAAAACTAAATTTTACTTGAATACAAAATGAAAAATTAACCAAGTGCACCTGAGGTTCTGCTAGGCAGTGGGAATGCAGGAGGGAACAAGAAGGGCCCACAGGGAGCTCGCGTTTTAATGGAGGAGACAGATAAATTACAGCCCATTAGAGCACATAGGTATTAGTCTAGAATTATGCCTTAAATGTTTTCTCACTTTAAGCCAGTTCAAATGAAATGCAGTGAGCACTGACGGAAAAATGGGAAATTCAATTTTCACGAGTCCAATTTATCTTAAAGTAACCTGACACCAGGAAATATGCTTCAGCTAAATTGGATGTCCTTGCACTGATGTGCTGAAGAATCCTTTTTATCCAATCCCAGTTTTTCCTGACCATCCAGTCTCTTACTGCATGTTTTCCAATCTGTGGTGAATTCGGTTCAGGACTGTTTCCCTCACTTGCTCTCCCCTGTCCCTAGCACTTCCTATCTCTAAGTTGTTTCGCTTTATCTGCATCTTACAGCCTTAGCCCCATGCTCTGGGCATCAATTTTCTCTTTGCTGTCTTTCCTATCTTATCTGAGTCTGAGACTTGCCAGGACTAGAGAACTAGTTCTACCACAGTTCCTCAGAGCCTGATCACATCTAAGCAACGCTGGAATTCTGCAAGCCTGCAGCCTTTCTCTGCAGAATGCTAATCATACAGGGAAAGAAACACATTTCAAGCAAGTGGTCACATCTTCCAAACCATCTTGTCCTTTTTCACCATCACTGATTTCTCATCCTCCCACCAGTAGTTTTGGATCCACACATGTCCAGACTCAGTCCAGAAGGCCACAAATGAAGTGCTGCCTACCTCGGTTCTTTCAGAAAAGGCCCAGGACAGTCATGAAAAGTGCTCCAATGTTCTGTTCTGCTTCCAGTAGATCATCACATCTCTTATGTGACCGACACAACTGAAATGTTAGAAAGGACTAGTGCTGATGTAAACTCACTATTTGAACCTGGCCTCAGCTAGGCTTCAAATCCAGATGTCCTGACTCCCAATATATTAAGCTCATTGCTCCCCAAAGTGTAGGACCTCCTGGGTCAGCAGCATCCTGTGGAGCCTTACTAGAAATCTCAGCCATCCCCAATCTTTTGAAGAGGGACCGGTTGTTTAACAAGATCCTCAAAGGATTCCTGATGAGCTACTTTAGTTTCCTAGGATACAAGGTGGGATCTCCGAGGCCATTTGGGAGAGGACCAGACAATAATCTCTGGCTGGATATGAGTCTTTTTGTAACATCCATTATCTGCCCACCTTTTTAAATTTTCCTAACAGTTACTATCCCTTAAAATCCTAATGTGTCATGGAAAGAAACACACCAAAGCATAAGGCAGGTGAGCCATAGGTTTTTGTTCTGCAGCCTCTCCCCTTGAAGAAAAAGGCTAAGATCCTCATTCTAATCCACTAAATACCTGTTCTCACTTTAGAGGACCCATCCTGTGTCGACTTCTTTAGCTGGTGTCATCTTGTTCTTCAACACGGTGTCTGCAACCACAAGTTTTATGGCAAACAGTGCTGCAAGTCATGCACAAGGAAGAGCTGACCTTGAAGTTATCAGGGTGTTACCTTTTGACCTCTGGGGTGCCCAGCTGCCTCTCCCAATCACAGCTGAGAGCTGACACCCTCTGTGAGTGGCCGCCACATTGGATGAGGTGGCTCTACCGGACTCTGTTCCCCCAAGCACATGGTACTCGGAAGCACTTGAAAACGGGAAGCGATGACAAATCTGAGCACAAAACGAACAGAAACACAGGACTTTGCTTTGCACTGTTACATGCAAGAAGTGACGAATCCCACTGAGTTACATCAACCTTGAGTTTTGATAAAGTGAGAATCTGGGCGACTTGGGGACAGATCAAAGGCAAAGACACCGGGGTCACAGAAAGAGACTGGGAGTCTCTCCAACATGGAGAGAACACCCTGCCTACTTATTTGGAGCTCACCCCCCAGCCAGGAATTACGCAGAAGCCAAATGGTGCTCAAGATGATGCTTGCTGCTGGACTAGCAAGCTTCCTGTACGTTTATTTAGTGTGTATGTTTGTGTGTGTGTTGTTAATATTTTGTTTAAAGTATATTCTGCTTATAGAGTCTCCAAGACTAAAATTAACAACTTGAAAAGTGTTCCAAGAAATAGCCTGAAACAGAACCATATGGCCTAGTTACAATTTCCACTTAATTGGGAAAAAAAAAACCTAGACAACTCTCATAAAAAGGCAAATATTGATGTCCTGCAAATGATTCAATCTCATAACTTTTGGTGCTAGCTGAGTAAGAACAAGGGGCTTTGAATCTGTTCTTTGAGAATCAGAGCTGGTAAGATGTTCATTTCTGATTAAAAAATCTAGGAGGAGCTAAATAGCAAAACAGCAGTATTTTTGAGGGAGAGAAGCCCATTTATAATGCTCCCCACGTATTATCAGAGCTGCTTGGAAAATTAAAGGCCACTTGTGGCTTTTTTTTTCCTCCTACCAACTGACATGTTTAAATTTGCCCTAGGATTTAGTTAAAGAGAAAAAAGTCATAGCAGCAATAGAAAAATCCATCTGTTGTCTTGCTACGTTAATATTAACAAATCATAATATGCCAAGACCCTTTCATGAATATGAGTATTTTATAATCTTTCAGATGGTATTTTCAGTCTTCACAAGCCAGCTGTTGTTAGGCACTAATGAGCTTAAAATTGTTCTCAATTGGAAAAACACCACACTCTTCCACCAAAACCAAAGTAACTTACAAGACTGTGTCCTTCTGTAATTTTTTGAGATGTGGTTATAAAGGGCATATTTATATAATTCTACTCAATTCCTCAATTTCTTTGATGAATGTAACCCAATTTTATTACTTTTTAAAAGTCTCCATTCAAACAGGGATTTGCCAGCTCAGCATAACCAACTAGACAGTGGTTTGTTAAATTTAGAGCATCCTTTGTTCCCGTTCTAATTAAAATCATGCATTCTCAAAACTGAGAGAGATGATGATTAGAATACTCTCTCAGTCCACTTGGCTTTGCCTAGTGTAGCGGCCATTTTATCTTCAGAAAAACAGTGGTTCCACATCACCACCCCTTGCCCTCTGAAGAATAGCAACTTATTTGTTTCTTTATATAATTATCATTTTATTATTTTATGGAAAAATTAATTTATTAATAGCCTGTTCTTATGTGTTCTTACTTGCTTCTCTGGGTAAGTGATATTAATTCTGAGGGAAAATGTTGAATAAAACCATGGGTTATAGAGAAACGTCAAAATATATGTGTAATATTTAATTATTTTATAAGTTTTAAAATAAAGTGTTCTGTTTATCTTTGGACCTTGTTACATTCTTGAATACATTGAAAATCAGATATTTCCATGGTGATGCAAATTGGTTTAAAATCTCAGAATGATTTCTCAATGAAAAATTAAGTAAAAGTTGGGGGGAGGGAGAAGAAAAGATAGTAATGATTTTTCTTGTTTGTATATAAGAAAATAAGAAGCTATCAAATTCTGAGATGAAACAGAAGACCCTTAATGTTTGAAGGAGATATTATTTTATTCTACTCTCATGGTCCTATAAAACATTTATTTAAGGATACCATTTAGTTAGGAAAACCTCTATGTTATTGGGTTTTCTTCTTTCTATTTGAAAGACACTCTAGCAAATTTTTTAAAATATTTATTTATTTTTGCATAGAAGAACGGGGGTGTAGCCCAGAGGTGCTGGGGGTGAGAAGATTTGTGAGAGACAGAGTGGGGAGCAGAACAGGCGAATCTATTGAAATACACTGCTGAGGGGAGCATCAGGCAAGAGGGAGAAGTCTGTTGCACCATATATGAACTCAGGCCTTCATGATGATAATGCTGAGACCTAACCCCTGTCCCACTAGGGAGACCCCCATTCTAGCAACTCTTTTAGTAGAAAGAAAAGAGCAAAGGAAAAGGGAGGGAGGATAAAGAAGAAAGAAAAATCTAATAAAAGATAGTTGTTTTCTAATCAGACCAGTGACGTATAATCACTGAGCAGAGTGAGTCCAACTGACCTGAATAAACAGTATTTTCCCCTGCATATGTGATTAGTACAAACACATGCACACATACATAATCACCACATATATGGATCGTTTATACATGGTTATCTTTAATATATACTTCAGAGATTTTTTTATATGATTCATTAATCGTTGGCGAATACAAAAAAAGAAATTATGACTAAGAATGGAAAATGGATTAAGTGATAGAAAAGAGAAAGTATCATTATACCTTCTGGTAATATTATTACAACCAACTATGTATTAGTATTGTATGGATGACAGGTACCGAGCTTACCCTTCATATATGTTATCTCACTTAATCCTCCCGATATCTCAATTAGAAAGATTCTATCATCCTCCTCTTGAAGATGAAAACTCAGATTCAAAAATATCACATATTTGGCCCAAGCACACATAGTCACTGATGGTGTCAGGGCTGAAACCCAGGTCCATGGGACTTAAACAGGTGGTTCTGTCATCATGCTTCATGACCCTCAGACACCTAAGAAAGGAAGAGAAGGACATTTAGGCTTTAGAACTCTTCTCATGGCTCTTGAGATGCATGTGAAAGAGATAGGACAATAAATGATTTAAGAATGGAGAATTATAGGCAGAGCTCGGATGATTTAAGATGGGGATTTGGGGATGGGAGGTAATAAATTCCCACTTAGTCTTTTCAATGAAAGATACTTAAGGGCCTGTTGTATAACTAGGGTGTTCATTCTCAAATAAATGCTTCTCTCTAGGATGAGAGTGTTTCCTGGGCAATAGGACCAGAGTATAGCCTACAACACCAAGTCCGTGACGATGGAGAGAGAGAGCGAGCAAGAGAAAATGAGGAACAGTGAGGAAAATGAGGAAAAGTGAGTGCTCTTGTCATGGATTCTATACACTAATTGCAGGGAAGGATGGTCTCGTTGCACCTTGTATCATGCAAGAAATGCCTTAGGGAACTAGTAGCATAGAATCTATTGCAGCCATGTGTTGCTTAACAACACTCAGTCAACAACGGGATATGCTGTACAGCATGGGTGTGTAGTGGGTTGCACCATCTACATTGTGTATTACACTCTGACCTTCACACATCGAAAATGGCTACCGACACATTTCTCAAACATAGCCCCAACCTTCAGTGACCCATGATTGCACTGCCGAGTGCAATATAGAAAAGGACTCTGACTTATGTTCTCTGTGGGTTAATTTTAGAAATGGTAAGCATGGTACATGGATTCTGTGCTCTGTTGGCCTTACCTTGAACACCTCTATGGTCTCTAGTAATGCTGAGGATCTTAACATTTGAAGTGACATTCATCAGTCACTCATAGGTCTGGGCAATTGCATCTTCCTCCTCTAAAGAGAAGGGAGAAGTGATTTGTTCTGCCATCCGTTTACTAACACCCTGACTTCCCCATACGAACATAATAGCACTTCTAGATTGTTTATTTTTCATTTGTTACATTTTAAAAGGACAGGTTTATTAGGAAAAGGAGAATGAAAAAGAGAGGCCCCTGAGTAGTCTCAGGTGGGCAGGAGAGCTGCTGCTGCTGCTGTTGCTTTGTAAAGGGAAAGGTTTTGTGAAAAGAACCATCTGCATAATCATAGGCAGGCAGGAGAGCTCACTCCTAAAGTTTTAATTCATCTTTTTTTTAAAGATTGATTTATTTATACAATAACTGGGTACAGGCCAGAAGCATGGAGGGTGAGAGGATTCACCAGAGACAGAGCAGGGTGCAGAACAGGCAGATGGACCAAAAACACTGCAGTGGGTGAGACAGGAGAGGTCTGCCATGTGGGTATCTCCCTAGCTGGCTGGAAATGAACCCATGCTGCAGAGGCTGAAGACAGCTTCACAGAGCTGCACTCAACCCACTGCACCACCAGGGAGGCCCTTAATTCATCTTTTTAAGTAAAAAAATTGCTTGATCTACAATGATTTAAAAAACAAACTTCCATGAATTCCTTTAAGTGGGAAATGTCATCATTTGCCATAAAGAAAAGGTAGCCATAAAATAAAAGGCAGCCATAAAAATGAGTCAAATATTAACATTTAAATTATTTTAAACCCTAATATCTTTATTTAAAATCAAAATCACTAAAAGTAGCAAGTGCACTTACAAGATTTCAGATTTATAAACAGATGTGAACACTGAAAAGTTACAGTAATAGGAGAAAGAGCTAAATCTTTTGGTTCAAAAATAAGATTCACTTGTGGTGACATTTGAGCAATCTCCCCACTCATCAGACATAGCTTTTTGTTATAATCCAGTACAGGATTCATCTTCTCAATCCATACTGCCTCTACTGGTTCCATCAGAACCTATTTCCTATCTGATGTCTTTTATGCAAAGGTGAAGATAGGGCAAAATGTAATAATGACAATGTAGCCAAAGTTTAATAACATTTCTAAATTTTACAAAGAAATTCCTAAATTTAATTTTACCACAAAAAGGAAAAGGCACCTTTATGTTTGCAATCTTTCCCAGTGTTCCTAAACTCATACAGAACATGTTTGAAAAATATTACAAGTAAAAAATATAATTGCCTTGGAAGACACAATTTTCATTTAGATTGTCTGATTCTGTACAGTTTTGGCTTCATACAAATAAACTACGCATGTGCTAAGTCAAATTAGAAAAAGACCACACTCATATATGGTTTCTATGGTATGGAGTTCCTCTCCCCCATGAGAAAATCTTTCATGTTGCCATAAGCAACATGAAAGTATTGTCATACCCTCTGCACTGAGGGTGATCATGACCTCACAAGGTACCGTTTTTAAAAGCAGCTTACCCATTCCATTTCCAAAAGTCTGGTACCTGGGAACAGGGCTATCGTTTTGCACTGAACCATGAATTAAAGAGGATGTAGAAGATTGCAGAGCTATAAATATACTGAAAACCACTGGATCATACAGTTTTAAGTGGGTGGATGTTGCACATCTATTATATGGAAGGTGTATACTTTGCATTTTTCTTGTATCGATCTGAATTTCTGTAGTTATCTGTGTTTTTAAATATGTTGAGTAAGTCCTAGCTCTCCTAATCTTGCACATGATCCAAGGCTCACAGACATTTCCTCAGGTAATATTAGATCAATGCAGATGCTTAATTACGTCTACATAATGTATATGCTGAGTTCCCCTAAAAATCCCTCTGGTCAGTGAAATAGTCACTTCACTTCTTTGAGCCTTAATATTTCATCTAGGGTAAGGCATTTAATTTCTTATTCAACAAAAGTTAGCACCACTTGTCCTGGACAGAGTGAGTAGAAATGGACAGCACTCTGCCCTCGTTGTGATTCATGGGTAACGATAGTCATTAACCAAGGTACCTCATAGACAAAATGACAACAATGAGAAAGGCTAAGCAGAAAAGGTGTATAGTGGTAATGGACACTACATAGTACCCTATACAGATGTGCCTGTAACCCAGGCTCATTTTCTTACACAGAGTCTGCCAGGTGATTTACTCACAAAGCCAGTATTTCTTGTTCCCAGGCCATGCTCTCCCAGGCCTGCTCTCCCAAGCAGGCATGCTCCCACTTGCCTGCATGCACAGAAAATCACAAGTACCTGGAAATTTACTCTGACCCTCAACCTCCACTCCTGAGCAGTCCCTCAACCCATATGCCATTCACTCGTTAATGACTAATCTAGGCAGAGGGCACTATAGTAACTCGAATTGCTTGCATTTTAACTAGAAGGGAGTGCCTGGCCCCAAATAATACCCCAAAATGATAACTATACACAGTGGGAAGGGGTCACAGTGGACTATGGTGGAGGATAATGGGTGTTTTGTTTTGGGGGTGGTGTAACAACGCCGGAAGAGGGAGAGCTTATAACTCTACATCACAAACAACGTTGTAAACTAATGTTACCTCAATTTAAAAAAAATGCTACTCACCAAAAAAAAAAAAAAAATTAACAATAATAATAAAGTGGTAACTATATAAGAATTATATATATAGGTATTTGTATTTTTAAAGTTTTTTTTTTAATCTTACAAGAAGAATTTATCATAGTGTATGAAAATGATCTGAAAATTTTGGGTCCAGAAATAAAATTTTTAATTGGAGCTTGGGGCAAGAGGCAGGGGAGAAAAAGCATGACAATCAAGGAAAAGAAAATTGAACAGAGGCAGCCCAGATGCTTCCGGAACAGCCAAAGAGATGTGAATAGGCCAACGAATATGATTTTGAAGCTTTTCAGGAAAGAACTTGATAAGCAGGTTCATGGG